CATCGGGCTCTCTGCTTGACAGGGAGCCTGCTTCCCTCTCTCTCTGCCTGCCTCTCTGCCTACTTGTGATCTCTGTCTGTCAAATAAATAAATAAGTAATCTTTAAAAAAAAAAAAAAAGCTCCACAGACGCATTTGTAGGGCTATTATTTTCATCACTGCCTGTCATTGGTTGTTCCCATGAGAACATCAGTTCCTCAAGGTCAAGATTCCATCTGTCTTATTCATTGCCTGATCTCCATGCCCGGCACAGAGCCTGGTACACGGTAGGTACTCCCCACCTATCTGTTAAGTGAAGGGAAGGAAAAAAGAGGACGGCAGGTGACAAGGTTGAAGGAGGCAAGCAAGCTAGGATAGGAGAAGCCAGAGGGGAGGGAGGAAGAGGCTTACCTGAAAGGGCACATCGGCCATGGTCTTGGCCAGGTAGTACGCTTTGAGGCTGTACCAGTAGTTGAGATGCTCCCTCATGAAGACCGCCATCTCTAAGGGGACTGAGGACACAGGCAGGTGAGGCGCTGCTGTCTGAGCCCCTGACCCTGACCCCCAGTACCCACCCCCCGGCCCCCTGCCCAGGGCGGCTCAGCTCACAGGTGAGCACGGTTGGCATAAGAGCGGCAAACATGAGGAAGAGCATGGAGAAGAAGAGGCAGCCGGTGTTGTTGAAGACCTTGCTGGCGTCGTTACCAATGTGCAGGTAAAGGAGACCGATGAGCACACCGATGACCACGTGGGACACAAACCGCAGGTGGGTGAGGACCTGGGTGAGGAGAGGGGATGGGCCACAGGCCAGGGATGGGCAGACCAACTGGGGTAGGAACTCAAGAGCCGCCCTCACAGACACACAGACCCATGGGTGCCTTGGGAGACAGCTGGCTGGTGGGGGTGGGGGGGCCTTCCCATCCCAGCTGCTGAGATCCTATGCCCCCCAAAGCCAGGCAGGCCTGTACCAGCCTCCTCTCCCACAACGTGATGCCTCACCGTGTCCCTGAGGATGGACAAGAAGGTCCTCTTGAAGAGGATGCAGAACTGTGTGAGGGTGCTGGTGGCAAAGGTGTGACTTTCAATGGGGTCCACTTCCTGGGGAGAGGACACTGGGTCAGGCGAGCCTACCCCGCCCACCCACTGCACACCCAGCTTGGTAATGGAAAACCCTCGAGCCCTTCCCCAGGCCAGGGCTCCTCCAGGCCCTTCCTGCTGATGGGAGACTCTCCACCACTGAGGTGCATGCCTGGAAGCTGGCCCCAGGGTCATGCATTAGAGCGAGATTCGGTGAAAGACGTAAGGAGTGAGTAAAAACTTGAGAGGAGAGCGCAAGGACATCAAGGACACTGTGGGGGCTAAGAGTAGGCCAGTCCCTCCTCTTCTTGTATTCACTCCCTCAAGAAACATTTACCCGAAGGCCACAGTGCCTTTCTGCCCCCTGTGCCACAATCGTATTAAACAATGATCATAATGGCGGCAACAACTGCAGCCGGCCCTCCTGGGTTTTGGAGCTGGCATCCAGCTTGTCAGTTCAGATGAAAGAATGAACACTGGAGGTCACAGGGCCCCCGGGCGCAGCTGGACAGACCAAGGGACCTGTAGGAACACGACCCCGCTAGCTTCCAAGTGGCTCATCAGCACTACCTGAAAGACATGATCGCCAGATGGACCAAATGAAACCTGGAGCATAAAGAATAAGGGTATTTTTCAGGAGGCAAGACTCTTGAGATGGAAAAGACCTCTGGGGACCAGATGAAACAGCACCGAGCGCCTGCTGGCATGACCTCAGGGGTCTCTGGTCAATGACAACCAGCTTCTCAAAAGACCTCTGCCCCAAGTCATGGCCTGAAAAACTCTTGCTCGTGAGCCACTGGGGAGTGTGGGACTTGGGAGCGTTATCTCCCCATTCTCCGGGTGGCCCTACACCAGGAACTCGCCTATGTTCCTTCACTGCACAAGCCCGCTGTCTGTTTGTACTGGCTTGCTGCACGAGCTCTCCTTCAGTTCAGGGACGTTTTCCAGGGTCATGGTATCTCATTTAGGAACGAGAACCGGCACCAAACCAATATCCACTGTACCAGCCCCGGTGCAGAGATTTACGTAATGATCTGATTAGTTCTCCCAGTAACACCGGAGTTCAGCGTCATCACCTCCGGCCTGGAGATGACAGCAAGACCCATGAGCCACGAGGCAAGAGATGCAGCATCGGGTCTGCTTACCAGGTGGCCCCGTGCCGGCACTGAGGACAACACACTACAGATGCTTAGTGAGAATTTGCTGAACACGTAAATGAACGGAGGTTGAGCAACGTGCCCAAGGTCACACTGCAGTCCACAGTAGGTCTAGTCCAAGTTCTGAGTTCTTCCTAGTCCCTAATGGTTGTGATGCCTCTGGGGGACAGCCTCTTAAGCAGGGCCATCATCCAGGGTCCCACCTGCCCGCCCCCACTTTTCCCTCTCTGCCCTCTCCAGCCCTACTCACCTGAGGACAAGGGGGGCACGGGGTGGGGACCTCGTTCTTCTCAGGGCTGCTCTTCTTCTCGGCCATGGCACAGAGCCCATTCTGCACAGCCCTGAACAGCATGGGGTTCAGGTCTCCATACTCTCCAGAGGCCACCTCGATGACTGGGAGACACAGAGCGGAGTGCGTGGCTAAGATCACTCCTTGGTTCCCGAGGGCAAGCCAGCCCCTCCGTGAGTATGTGGGGAAGGTAGGGGACAGTGAGACCTCCCCAAGGAGACCTAGGCATGGGAGCCGATCCTCCCGATTTGGCCCCACACCGCAGCCCAGCCCCCCTGCCCTGCCACTCACTGAAGTCAGCCGGGTTGTGGTAGGTGGGGCAGTGTAAGCCAAGCCCCTTCAGGTAGGGGATCAGGTTGGTGACCACACCTTTGAAGATGCACTGACCCTGGCTCAGGATGTAGAGCTGAGGTGGAAACGGAGGGGTGAGGACAGCACCACCAGTGGACCAGTGCCCCTCCCTCTCCCTGCCATAGGCCAGTGCCCTGGGAAGCCCAGAGCCACTCACCTTGTCAAACATCTCAAAGAGCTTGGCACTGGGCTGGTGGATGGTGCAGATGACTGTGCGGCCCCCCTGGGCCAGGGACTTCATGAGGGACACCACTTGGAAACAGGACGCGCTGTCCAGACCACTGTCCAGAGAAAGGTGGTGGGGGGGGTGAGGTGGGCAGTGCCAAGAGAAGGGAGTGCTTGATGTGGGGCAGCTGCTCCAAAGGGGCTGGAGCTGGCAGGAAGGGAGTCCCCTCTGGCTACCTGACAGCCTGTCCATGCTACACAGTGCCGGCCTTTGGAGGTACCAAGAAGCCCAAGCACCATTTCATTTAACAAGCAAATATCGAGTGAGAACCTGTTGAATGGCCAGCACTGGGATGACCATGATGGATGGCTAAGACATAGACTCTGGTCTGGAGGGAGAGAGAGAAGCACAGAGATCACTCGAGATGATGTGGAACGTGCTGTAGAAACATGGGGCGGGGAGGTGGGGGAGGCTTCAGCTCTGCGGCATGGGGCTTGGGGCTAGTCAGAGAAGTTTCCTGAGCACGTGTGGAAGAGGAAGGAGCTGAGGCAGCTGAAGGCGGAAGGGCAGGCGTGGTGGCGAAGGGCAGTCCAGACAGAAGACACAACATGTGCAAAGCTTAGAGGCATGAAACACATGGCTGGCCCAGGGAATTATAAGCAATTCGGTGTTATTAGAGCATAAAATACAAGCCAGCATGAAGCAAGATGTAAGCTTGGGGAAGTAGGTTCAGGCCGAGACCTCTATGTCTTCTGACTGTTCTGAGGGCAAATGGGAATCGCTGTGTGTTTTTAAGGGGGGTGGGGTAGTGAGTATTGCCAGACTTGTCTCTTAGAGAGCTCTCCCTGGCTGCAGCTCGGAGGGAGGACTGGCTGGGAGAGACTGAAGACAAGAGGGTAGGAGTCTATGGTAGAATTGCAGGCGAGAGCTGATGAGGTCCAGAACTTAAGCACGGGCACTCGGGATGGGGGTGGGGCGAATCTGAGAGACAGAGGAAGGAGGTAGAGTCAGCAGGACTTGATGACGGATTGGCTGTGGGGAAGAGAGGGAGAGGGAGGCATCCATCAAGGAGGACATAGGATTTCTGCCTGCGTGAAGGATGGGCTGCTACGGCAACGGGATTGGCAGGAACGAATGAGGAGAAGCCCTTATCTTGGCTCCGGGAGGCTGCTGTGCATGGACTCTGGTCTCCGGCAGTGGAGAAGATGTAGCCCTCCTGCCCTGGCTGGGGGTGGGGGGGCAAGGGGAGGCGGCATGCTGGTGGGAGAGGAGGGGGAGAACTACCTGGTGGGCTCATCAAAGAACATGACGGGCGGATTGTTGACCAGCTCCAGGGCGATGGCCAGGCGCTTCCTCTGCCCCCCGGAGAGCAGAGCTGTCCTCGTGTGGGAGCAGGACATCAGGCCCAGTGCTGTCAGGATCTCCGTCACCTGGCCCGGGCCCCCACCCACCCCAGGTCAGCTTCAGAATCTCTGCTCCTCCCTACCCCCACACCACCCCAATTTAAAGAAGCGTTCCCTTAAGCCCACTTGGCCTCCAATGTCCCAGCCTGGGGTCCAGTCTCCCACCCCCTGGCCCCCGCAAACTCAAGGCTCTAGAACTCTAGAAGGAAGGGCAGCTGTCCTGTCCTCACCCCTTTCTCTTCCCCACTCACCAGTTCCTTCTTCACCTCTTGCTTCTCACTCAGCTTTAGGTTAGCAGAGACCTGAGGCCCAGAGAGTAGGCAGGTCAGGTACGTGTGGGAGGAGGGCCCTGCCTTGTCCCCTTAGCCACCAACCGAGGAGGATGGGGAAGGCAGGCAGAAGCAGGGGCTGGGAGAGGGAGCAGGGACGCCAGCCCTCACCATCATGGCTTCCAGCACTGTGAGGTGAGGCAGCAGCATGTCGTCCTGCATGATGTAACACGACATCTTGCGGAAGGTCCTCAGCTCCCGCGGCCTCCCATTGACCAGGATCTGCCCCTTCATTCCAGACTCCCTGCAGGCACATTGATCACAGATGGGGAGGGGTGGTCAAGGCCACCTCAGAATACCTTCTGAGCTCCCCAGGGGATCCTTCTTCCTGGCTCCTGCCCCCATTCCACCCCGGCCTCGTCCTCACCTGTACCCTGCCAAGATGTTCATGAACGTGGACTTGCCGGCGCCGGAGGGGCCCATGATGCCAATCAGCTCCCGGCGGCAGAATTTACCCGACAGGCACTTGAGGAGGGTCTTATAACCTGCGGCAAGGGAGGAAGGAGCTTGTGATCAGGGTTACAGTGAACAGAGGCAACAGAAACTCTGAGGAATGGCCCTAGCGAACGAGGCAATTCCCTCCCAGGTGGGGAGTGGCGTTTGATGACGATGGAGAAACGCCTTCCGAGCGCACTGAGATTCACACCGTCTCCGCCTGTTCCCCTAGAAGAGCCAGGTACCAACATCAAAGTACCAGAGACCAAGAACACTCTCCTGTAGGCCAGGAGAAGACCGCCACACCTCGTGGATGGGCATGGGGAGGGCATCAAGTTTAGTGATGACTCTGCTCCCCCTCTTTAAATGCAGTATTCACTCTCACTCCCTCCAGGAAGACTTTGCCAACCATCAGCCTGAGCAAAGTGGTTAAATGTCCCCTGTGTTTGCACAGCCCTGTGCACACCAGCATGCTTGCTAGTTGTTGTGCCCGTCCCTCACCCCTGTCCCCCAGGCTCTTAGTATGTGAACTGCTTGGGGCTAGAGCCCGTGTCCTACTCATCTTTGTGACCTCAGCAGACTGTCTGGCATGTACTAGAGGCTCACCATGGGTTCTAGGAGAACAGATTCTCAGAACTTTTGTTTCATTCTGAAAAAGCCTTCTTCTTTGTGCTCTCTTGGCCCAGGAGGCTTGTCTCCACAGCCCCCGATATGGCCCGGTAAAAATCTCATGATTCATTCACTCCCTGGGGGAGGCAGCATAGGCATTAAGTGCACTGATTTGGAGTCAGGTGGATCGAGGTTCAAATTCTGGCTCCACACTTACCAGCTGTGGGACCTCAGGCAAGTTGCTTAACCTCTCTGAGCTCCAGGTCCCTCATCTGTAAAATGAGGAGGACAGTACCTATCTCATAGGGTTGCTATAGAGATGCAATGAGATAATATATGCAAAGCATATGACACAGTGCTTGGCACATAGAGTACATTTAAAAAGTGACATTTTATTATTAATTCTATTTGACAAACACTTATTGATATCTACTACATTCCAAGCTCTGTCCCACACACAGGACAAAAAAATGAAGAGGACACATTTCCTGCATTCAAGAAAGTCATGGTCTAGGTAAAAAATATTGGAAACATCTATGGATCTGAGGAGAGATAAAATAAGGTTAGAACAGAAGCACAAATAATGTACAATGAGAATGAAGAAAATGAAATTGAAGAGGGTGGAGGGACAAGGGAAAAATCAGGAATGGCTTCATGGAAGAAGTGGCATTTGAGGAAAGTCTTGAAGGATGAGCAGCAATCAAAAATGGAGAGGGAAGTCAAGGCTCTCCAGTCCTTGGGAGGGAGAGCTCTGCTACATGAGAGCATATCTAGAAGCGGAGGTCAGAGACTACATGGCGTCGCCTGGGGAAACAAGGTGGTGGAGAGGAAGAAGGGAGCCCACCAGGCAAGCCTTGCCTACTATGCTTACAGATCTCCCTCAGTGAGGCAGGAACACCAAGCTCTACTGGAGGTTTTGCTCGCCACCATCGTCCTCCGCCCCCCACAGAGCTCCGTGTCCTCTCCCCTCTACCTGCTTAGCAGAGACAGTGAAGGGATGTGACCTTTCACCCTCCCTCCGCAGCACCCGGCTGTCCCTCTGGACACATCCATTCAGCAGGAGACTCAGTTGCTGTCCACTATGGGGTCCCCATCACACCGGTGGCCCGGATGGTGCTTTAGGGTTTACAAACTCATTACTTCCTTTGCTGCTATAGCAACACGGATGAGCCAGCTGGGGCCCAGGGACATCCAGTGACTCACCCAAGGTCACACAGCAAGTTCTTCCCTGGGAGAGGGGAAGTCATAGGATCCATCCCTCTGCCTCAGGGATTATCACCACCAATCAGAGAGACGTGTGATTGTGCACTCCAGCAAACACCTTTCAGAGCCACTGACAGGAAGTGATTTCTTTGGCAGGAGAGGAAACAGGCGACGAGGAACCTTCCCCTCATTTAATCCGAGCCAAGCACCAGATTGAACACTGATGCCTAATACATATATCATCTTATACTTGCCTCTCACCAAGCATTTTCACAGATAACGTCTCAGCTAAGCTTCATAACACGCCTGTGTGGGGATGATTCTTATCGTCCCTGTTTACAGATGAAGAAAGTGAGTCCAAGAGAGGCCCAACGTCATTCAGTGGACAAGCGGCTAGGAACCCAGTCTTCGAACACCTGCTGGTCCCCAGCTGCTCGACACAGGAAGGACCTGTCAGCCCTTCCAGGTAAAAACGCACCAGAGTTCTGGTCCCGTCTCTGTCAGTAACTCTTGCAATTTTGTCAAGTCACCTAATCTTTGAGGATCTCCATTTCCTCATCTATAAAGTAAGGACAGTAAGATCTCCTCCCAAGGCATAATAGGGTTATTGTGACTATTGAGTGAGACGTTTAATAGTAACTAATGGGAAAGTGTTTTGAAAAACAAGAAACATCATATATAATTAGGGGAGACCGGTGGCAAGTCCCTACCTGGGCAAGGCAGACACCACCCTCTCTCCAAATCCCTCGCTCTTCCTCTCTGCCTACCTCTAAAGGCTTTCCGTCCTTCAGGCAAGGGGAGAGGGACTCCAGTGAAAAGACAAGTCAAAGAGAAAAGGACAGTGGGCTAGGAAAGGGGCAAGGGACAGAAGAGAGAGCAAAATGGACAGCAGAGAGCAGGGGGCTGGCAAGGTAGAAGGAGGGAAGCACCCAGTCAGGGGCGCCAACCTGGCTGGTGGGTTGAAGCAACCAGTCCCTCTAGCTACATTTCTTTCTTAGCTCCTTAAAACTTATCTCCTTGGGTGCCTGGGTGGCGTAGTGGGTTGAGCCTCTGCCTTCGGCTCAGGTCATGATCCCAGAGTCCTGGGATCGAGCCCCACATGGGGCTCTCTGCTCCGTGGGGAGCCTACTTCCTCCTCTCTCTCTGCCTGCCTCTCTGCCTACTTGTGATCTCTCTCTCTGTCAAATAAATAAATAAAATCTTTAAAAAAATAACTTATCTACTTAAAACTGAGGAAAAACAGGGCTGTAAGAAATATGGCCACCTCTGGGGCGCCTGGGTGGCTCAGTGGGTTAAAGCCTCTGCCTTCGGCTCAGGTCATGATCCCAGGGTCCTGGGATTGAGCCCCGCATCGGGCTCTCTGCTCAGCAGGGAGCCTGCTTCCTCCTCTCTCTCTGCCTGCCTCTCTGCCTACTTGTGATCTCTGTCTGCCAAATAAATAAATAAAATCTTTAAAAAAAGAAGAAGAAATATGGCCACCTCTTCATTTGCCCAGAGCTGATCTCAGGGTCCAGAGGCTGCTCTGGGACAGGGCCCCCAGCAGGGGGCCCAGAGGCCTCAGTTGCCATTGGCTCAGGCCCTGTGACCTTTTGGGCACTCTTGAGAGAGCAGAGTGAGGGTGGGGAATGCAGAGACAGCTCCTTCTCAGCCCTGCTCAGAAGCACCCCAAACTTATTTCTTAAATCTCAGAGAACAATGCCCCAGCTCCACCCCTGACCCAAACCCAGCTCTGGGAAAAACAAAAAGCAAAACCAAAAAAACCCTCAGCTTCTCTATTCCCAGCTCAAGCTGCCCAGGGCAGGAGGAGGCAAAGACTCCAGGGTCTGGTGAAGGTTCCAAGGACCTCAGAAAGTTCCAAAAGCCCAGACCTTACCCACCTGCGCTGATGAGAGAAAAGAGGAGGAGATAGGAATGCAGCACCAGGGACGTTAAGAAGGAAAGAACAATCCACAGAGAGCTGGCAAACCTGGCTTCTGGTCCCAGCTCTGCCACTAATTTGCTGTGTGGCCCTGTCAGGTGACTCAAGTTTCCTGGACCTCAGTTTCCTTACTCGTACCATGGGGATGTCACCCAGCCTGCTAAACCTTCACCCTCCCTGCCTCGGAGGACTTCAGCAAGAATGAAGTAAGATGACGGGAATGAGAACATCTTTTAAAATTAGCAGTGTCGGGGTGCCTGGGTGGCTCAGTTGTTGGGCATCTGCCCTTGGCTCCGGTCATGGTCCCAGGGTCCTGGGATCGAGCCCCACATCGGGCTCTCTGCTCAATGGGAGGCCTGCTTCTCCCTCTTCCACTCTCTCTGCTTGTAGTCGCTCTCTTGCTCTCTCTCTCTCTCTCTCTGTGTGTGTGTGTGTCAAATAAATAAATAAAATCTTAAAAAAATAAAAATAAAATAAAATAAAATTAGCAGTGTCTATAGGTACAAGGATACTGCTAAGCCCCGAGGAAGGCCGAAACACAGCCCAGGACTTTCTCGTTCCAGGCCTCAAAGGCAGGAATTCTACCTAAAATAAAAGAAACTCCTCCAGGACCACTTAGGGACCAGAGGTTGTAGTGTCATCTTGGAGGAGGAAAACTTCAATCGAAGCTGAACCTAGTGTCCCACCTCAGAGCTCACAGGTGCAGGGGAGAGGGGAGGCGGGGAGGAGTGGTGGTGTAGCACAGACCTGGCGGGTCAGCTGCGTGCATAGCTCACGGTGGGCTGAGATTTCCGCTACACAGAGCCTCCTGGGGCAGAACTCGGGCAACAGGGGACACCCAGACCTCCAGCTCTCTAAGAGACAACTCCTGGGGGCTCCACAACTCCCCACCAGGCTGCTCCCTTACCCCGTTTGCGCCAGCAGGGCCCTTCTCGCACGGAATAGGACAGCTCCACGAATTCGATGTCCACCGCTGAGCGCTTGGGTAGGTGGGAGAAGCGTTGGGCTTCGGTGATGTGGTTCTCCACCTTCTTCAGGTGTGTGGTCAGCATTGGGGGCTCCGCCCCGTCCTCCAGCGCCACGGCCATGGCTACGGCCCCGGGTCCTAGTCCACAGCCCACGGCCTCCAGCGCCTTCTCCGCCATCACGCTGCCGGCCTGCAGGGAGAGGGCCTGCTCAGTTCGGGGCAGACCCCCAAGCCCTGGCTCAAAGCCTCCTTGTTTTCTAATGCTCCCCACCCCCACTGCCCGCCTCCTTCTCAGGACAGACCCGCTACTGGGAGCACCCCACTTCCCACCGCCAGAGCATCTGCCCACTCCTGCCCCCCACTCCCGTCTTAGCTACGCTCAGTCTCGACCTCTCCTCGGTCCAGGCAGCCCCAGCTCCAGTCTGGCCCCAGCCTGGCCCCAGCCCAGCCCCTAGAAGCCCTCACCCACTCCCTCCTCCCGGTGGCGGCTCTAATCTCCTTACCCCGCAGGCCAGCAGCCCCTGGGGACTGAAGGGTTGGGGGGCGGGGAGGAGGGCAGGGGCGGCCGGCCGCGGCTGCCCGCTAGGAGGTCAGGGTACGCGGGTGCGCGCAGGGCAGACAGGGGAGAAGGCGGAGGAAGAGGAGGCTCTGGGCCTCCCGCTGCATCCCCCTCCCCATCCCCGGGCGCGTCCCCTGGCCGGCCCCTCCCTCCGGCTCCCCTGCGCCCGCGCGTCCCGGACTCTCCCCAAAGGCGGGCGCACCACCGGGACTCGAGACCACCGCCCCCCGCCGCCGCCTCCAACTAGTCCCCGGGGGCGGGTTCCCCCCTCCCTATCTCCCGCATGCCTAGTCACCTTGACGCGCCCCCGGACTGGTGCGGACCGAGAAGCTTGGCGCTGCCGCTGGCCAGGGATGGAGACTCCGGGCCCTCCTCACCTGCCTCCGGCTGCGGCACCCGCGGCCCGGCTCCCGGTCCCGGCGGCGCGGGCCGGGGCGGGGCCGGGGCGGGGCGGGCGACCGGGGAGGGCCCGGGCCTCAGGTCCGCGGAAAGATGACAACGCTGGGGAGGGGCGATGGGGGCGCGCCCCAACTCGGCTGCGCACAGCCGGTTCCCAGAACCCGGTGCTGGGCGCCGCGTCCTCCCGAGCCCGCTGGGCGACTGCGCTCTCCTCCCAGCTACTGCTCGCCGGTCCGGCTGTTCTTAAAGGGCCCATGCCGCCCCGCAGCCGGTGGGGGGCGAGCACGGCGAAAGGGACAGCAGTGCCGGCGACGCGGGGCCAGAGCGGGCGCAGTGTGGACCCTGGACTGGGGGGTTGGCGGCGAAGGGCCGACTTGAACACAGTGAGGGCAGGAGAACTGAAGTCGCTCGGTGGGGACAGGTCCCTGGATTACAGACTAGACGATGGTGGTGTGCGTACAGGGGATGGGTTGGGCATTGGGGTGCAGACGCCATCCTTCTCAAGGGATTGTGAAGCTGTCAGACTGTCTGCACCACTCCCCCATCAGTTTCCCCGGGTTTCGGCCCTTGAGCTCCGGCTTCCTCCAGCGATTCCCCAAACTAGATAAAAAGGCTTTGAAAGCTAGAGTCTGGGGAGAGCCTCCTCCCCTTTCCCCACCCCATTCTCCACCTTCCCTAACTAGTTAAGAAGGGAAGGCCGGTGGACACCGCTTTGGGAGAGCTTGCAAACAGCTGGGAGGTGACAGTGGTACTTAGAACTCAGCCTACTCCAACTACAGACAGAAGTCCTTACTCTCCCAGGCAAATCCAGACCTTTAAGACAGGCACATGCCTGATGCTGGACACACAGACGCACCATGGCAATGGCACCTGGCTCACAGACACTGCCTTGGGCATCTTCTAGTACACGTGTCATGCTTTCCCTCAGCCCACAAGCCTTCAAACGCAGGTCCTCCAGAACACTCTGGGGCTTTCCCCTGCTTTGCTCCTTCCTCATGCTCCTCTTGGCCCCCGCCTGCCCAGGCTGAGTCTTCTAGGGGTAAGTAGGTTAGCCAGTTGAGACACGTGGCCTGAGCTTTTAAGTTCCCACCTGTCACAGAGCAAAGACAGATGGGAGGGGAGGCCGCCGGGGCTGCTGCCACCTCCTTACTGCAGCAGCTGAGAGGTTACCAGCAGTCAAACCTCTCCCCTGCTCCTCAGCCCCTCCTCCTGCCTCATTACAGCCTGGAAGCTGGCGGCCCCTGCAGGACATCTCCAGGCTCCGCCCTGTAACTGTGAGGGTTAGTGTGTTTAGGATCCAGCCCTCCCTACCTTCCTCTCATTCCCTGCCTACATCAGCACCATCCCTCCGACCAAAGTTCTCACTCTCGAGATGGACCTCTGTTCCCCAAGTTAACCGCCAGTTTCCCGTAGCGACTCCCCATCCCCAACGGTTGCATTTACTGAGCAATCATTATGGACCTGGCATTGCCTGATTTAATTCTCATCATGCCCTTAGGAGGCAAGCATTACAGCCTCTCTTTGGAAATAAAGAAACAGGGGCACAAGGACGTTGGTTAAGCAGTGTTCCCGAGAGTATGCTTCTAGTTGGCGGCAGACCAGGGCTTGAACCTTGAAGTCTTTGTTTTTACCCATCCTGCTATGGGGGCCTCTCAGAGCCCTATTCCCAGATGGCTTGTCTCCCTCCATTTTCTGGGCAGGCTCTTCTGTTCTTTCAAGATAACCACCACATCCTAATGACACTCCTCTCCTTTCCCTGGCATACAACTTGCCAGTCCTTGGGAAATTTTCCTTCCTTTTCTTGGGAACACTGTGTTCCCTTTTCCTCTGGACAGGCTTCCCCAGCTTCAGAGACCAACATTTCCAAGTCTTTGACTGGCTTTCCACACCGTGGGATTCACATCCCATGCCCCAGAGCAATGGTCCTCAGTCTTGGGGGAATTTCAAAAGACGTCCAGATAATATTACAAACCCGTTAATCCTGATCTCTAAGGTAGGACTCAGGTCTTAGTGTTTTTAGAAGTCCTGAGCTGATCCCACTGGGAAGGAAGTCAAGATCCACCACCCTCCCTGAAACTTCCATTCCCTAGGTTGGAACAGTTGCCATATAACCATGGAAGTCCTCTCTCTCCCCTAGAACAGGCCTTCCCGTTCTCGAGGATGTCCCTTCCCCACTTCATGAGCACATATTCCATGTTCTAAATCTGGAGTCGGAGATCTGCATTCCGACCCTTGATGCTTTTACTCATTCCATGCTCTTAAGCAAAGTTTTCTACTTCTCTGAGCCTCATCCATGAAAGAGACATGATAAAAATCCTGCAGATCAGGGGCGCCTGGGTGGCTCGGTGGGTTAAGCCTCTGCCTTCCGCTCAAGTCATGGTCTCAGGGTCCTGGGATCAAGTCCCACATCGGGCTCTCTGCTCAGCAGGGAGCCTGCTTCCCCTCTTCTCTGCCTGCCTCTTTGCCTACTTGTGATCTCTCTCTCTGTGTCAAATAAATAAAATCTTTTTTAAAAATCCTGCAGATCAGCCTTGAAAGGTTCTTATGAGGTTCAAGGGTCCAAGAGCTTAGTGCTTATTCTCAAGAATCAATGAAACATACTTCATTTTATTTATTTTTATTAACATGCTTAATTTTATTTCCCTTAGAAGAATCTCCCATTTCCTTGGCAAAGGAGGGGAAACTACATTTATCGAATGCCTACCATGTGCTAGGTAGCTGGCAGAGAGATATGATTTCTGGGGAAAGAGCTAGGCTTGCATCTTTCTCCCCTGAATTCCTAGAACTTGGATCCAGAAAATACACTCAATAACTCAATAACTAACCACTGACTGGACGGTCTAACCAGCCCTCATGACAACTCTGTGAGGACAGTATTAGCCTCTCGTGTTTCGGGTAAGGAAACTGATGCTCAGAAATGTTAGTTACGGGGTGCCTGGGTTGCTCAGTGGGTTAAAGCCTCTGCCTTTTGTTCAGGTGATGATCTCAGGGTCCTGGGATGGAGCTCTGCATCGGGCTCTCTGCTCAGCAGGGAGCCTGCTTCCCTTCCTCTCTCTCTGCCTGCCTCTCTGCTTACTTGTGATCTCTGTCTGTCAAATAAATAAATAAATATCTTAAAAACAAAAGGAAAAGAAATGTTAGTTACAAGTATGAGTTCACACAGCTAACATAATGGCTCCAGGGATCCAAATCCAAGACTTAGTGATTCAAAACTGTGATGTTACCTACTATGTCACCCTTCCTCATTCTCTACTATTTCACCTTCCCATTTTGTAAGCAGATCTATCTCCACTCCTATGAACAGACCTCTTCTCATTCTAGGATATATATTCTAGGATATATATTCCAACCTTCTAGAGGTCCCCAAGGGCAGACCCTCCCCATTCTAGAAGATACTCCCACCACATATCCCCCCAGATCAGACCTTTGATTCCCTAGAACACATCTCTAGTTCCTAGAAGAGATCCCATAACTCAAGAGTGGTTGGTGGTCCTCAAACTTGAGCACAAGTCAGAATCATCTGGAGGTCTTATTAAATTGCTAGCTCTACTCTCAGAGTTTCTGATTCAATATCTGGGGTGGGGCCAGATAATCTGCATCTCTAATAAGTTCCAAGGTGATGCTGATGCTGCTAGTCTGGGGACCACACTTTGAGAACCATTGCTCAAGAGAAACTTCATTCCTCAGTTTAGATCTCACCATTCCCAGAACCACCCCCACCATCTCCTACCATGGACTTTCCTTCCCTCAGATGGACAATCCATCTCTTCCCCAAATAGCCCTCCTCCATTCCCTGAGATTGATCTTTTTCTTTCTCTAGGAACTCCTCAATTCCCACCTCAGACCCCCTCCCTTCCCAAGACAGAGCCTCCACCCTGGGCAGGTTCCCTAGACCCAGGTAAGGGTTGGTGATAATTGGCTTGTAAGGAGCAAGGCAGAAACAGAAAACTCCTGTCTCAGTTTAAGTCCCAGGAGTTAACCTAGCAGACAGGCTGCCTGGGCCGGGATTTATGGGAGAAGCAGTTGGTAAGGAGCTTTGAGGACCTATGGGAAAGGGAGGGTAGCAGTGTCCTGTGGGAGCTGGGAAGGAACAGAACCGGGGACTCTGGAACCATCTCAGTTCTGCTTCCATCACCCCAGGCCCACCATCCACGGTGCCTCCTTTGCCCAGCATGCTAGTCTTTCATCTTTGGAAAGAATGATTTTAAAGTGTATTTGTC